CTTTACGTGTAAGGACGCTGCACGGTGCTGAAACACACACAACCAAACGCAGTTGACCGGTGCCAGAAGAAGAAAAAAAAGACAACAATGCTTTGTCATGTGATTCGCAAACTTCTTTGCGACCTGTGTCCATGGAATAATGATTGAAAAACACTTTTTCAAGTAACTCAGAATGAAACAAAAATAAATATCAACAGAAAAAAAACAACTGTGCGTAGGCCTATCTTTAAAGCTGGTTGGACAACAGCACGAGTATAAGAACAGAAATGGAATGCGGCCAATTACAGCTGGACGATGAGCGTTCCCTACAAATCCATTTTCAATCCTGATTACTCGCTAACTTTAGAAACATTCTGCATTCATAGAACCTTTTTAAACGTCACCTTTTAACAGTGGAAATACTTGAAATGAAGGTGGTGGGTGACACAGTTGGGCCCAGACTATAGGGTCCATGAAGCCCGTCTCGCAAGGACAGCCGCCGGCCCCTGAGGTGTTGATGCAGACTGAGCGTCTTGGGAGATCTACGCCAAAGCCTCGGGGAGAGTGACACGAGGGAGAACAATAGAGAGGGGGACCAATGGAGGGTTTTTGCAGGATCACCTGAAACTGCATGACTTTGACTTTCTCAAGAGAAACTTTCTCAACCAAAGTCACATTTTCCTTCAGCTTGGGACAAGCTAAACTATATAGAGATGTACTTCTTTCTTTTTAAAGGCGCTTAAAAGTCACGAAGGCCGCTGACAAACTCACCAAGTTGGTAACAATGGCTGCACAGTGTTGGAACCTCAAACAAAAGGTTTGGTTTCTGAAATGATTCGCTATCTTTTTTTATTTGCTTCAGTGAGTTCTATTCTCTCTCATACTCATATTTCTCATATTTCTATTTGCTATTTATGAAGTTTTGTGTGGTTGCGGTCACACAAACCAGATTCCAGAAGCTATATGCACCTGCATCTGTGTGTGTGTGTGTGTGTATGTGTGTTTTTGTGTGTGTGTGTGTCACACACACACACACACACTTTGCGGGGTGAGGTGGTAATGCTCAGTGACAAGGATAAACAGCACTGGGGTTTGCTCCCACCAACAGGCGGGGTGAAGAGGAGGAGGAGAGGAGGTCTGTGTCAGCCTCTCTCTCCTTTCCTCCTGCTCTCTCCTTGTCATTTTTTCAATTATCCTTCTCTCCTGTGTGTCCCCATAGACCCAGAGGCAGGGGCTGCATCATTTAGAGCGAGAGCCTGTTTAGATTCTGATTATAGCCTCCTTTCTTCTCGCCACTCACTGCCATCACTCGCACACTTAGATACATGTTGTGGCTTCACATATTTGAGCCAGCATGAGGTGGAGAACTGTAGAAGTACTTTTATCTCATTGTGAAGCTCCAGGAGGGGGTGTTGTGCTGAGGGCACAGTAATTCTTTTATAAATTGTCAACATGATCTTTTTGTTTCTCTGAGTATAAGGAGTTGTGTCACGGCCCAGAAAGACTGCTTTTGTGTATTTCAAAGGTGATCATTCTGGTGCGTAAACATACTTTAGAAATATATATGATGGCTCAGGAGGCTGTGCATTGACCGTATTTATTGTAGTCAGCTGTCTCAGCTGGGAACGTGAAGTCTAACGTCCAAAGTTCACTTCCAAATTAGCGGCGATGCATTCGTTTACCTAGCATTCTTCTGTGTAAACATAATAGCGAGCTGCACAGAGCCTATTCCCTCTGGCTGCACGCTGGTTTAATATCAGATCGCCATCCTTCGCATCTTCTAAAGGTTTCATCATGGAAAGCGGTGAAAGGCTTTCCTCCTTGTTAGAATGAAAAGTCATCAAGGGAGGAGAGGAGAGAGGGATGGAGCCTCATTGAAATGCAAGTTACATTCCCCTATTTCTCTCTCTTCACTCCTTTGGGACTTTATGCCTTTCTCCCCGTTCTCCTCCCCATCTTTCAGGCGCTCCCTTGCTCCCTCTCTTCCTTTGTTAATCAGTTAAACTCCCTCTTCAAACAACCCCTCTAATTACTCCTCCACTCTCTGTAAACGACAGGGCTGTCTCCTGTTTCTCTCCTCTTCACTCGATCCCCATCTCCCCGGGCTCCCTCTATCCATGGCAAGGGTTGACCTCTGTCAGCCGCTGGCCCTCTCGACAGCGTGCGTCTTGGTGCGTGCGTGCATGCATGTGCGTCTACTAATGACTGATTCTTACATGGAAATGATAGGAGAGACAGCTTAGATTTTTGAAATCGTGGCATTGTTCACTGTCAGACTTTTAAATGTGTGCGCGTGAGCACGTTCGTGCACACGCGTCGTCGCTGCTTGAAGCTCGAGGCCGCACTTTCCTCTTTAAGCAAACCTCCCCGGTCGTGTTCCTTCCTCACACACATCTCTCATCTCCACCCATTATAATCCACTTCTTTTTTTCATTCCTCCCTATCTTCTTCCATTTCTTGCTTTTGTGGATGGTATCCATCCTCCTCCACTTTCTCTTCTCGCCCCTCCGCTCACTTCCCCTCAGAATCACCTCTCGCCGACTAATCTGCCGCGCATCTCTCTCTTTTAAATTAACATGCAACGTGAAAAAAAAATGGACGACAACGGGAAAAAAAATTAAATGCATTTAATAAATGGCTGACTTCAAATCGCCTGGCTTTTCAGACTCTCCCTATTCACAGTCCAATGAAAGGGGAGAAATCATTCACCAGGAGAGACAAAGCCGAATGAAAATATAATTCTGCATTGTGAGGCGCTTTTGTCCTGGCCCGTCAAATCGCTAATGGCGAGGCTTTTGTTTTGTGGCGGCGCTCTCAGGCTGGCGGTGTCGTATGGCGGTGGCAACGCATGCCCCATAATCACCACGCTTTGTGATATTAGATTATAGGGGCAATTAATGGCGTCAAACCTTAACTACTCAGCATTCAGCCTGCCACACACACGTTCAGCTTTAAACGCATGCACGTTCGCACACACACACACACACACTCACACACACCTTCACCCACATTCGCACGCACACATACAGTACAGTATATCTGCACTTGTACACAGGAACGCACATTCGGCTCTGGCGTCAGAACGTCAGCCAACACACAGAAAGGTGCTATATCTCCAGTAATTATTACGCCTGCGACTTGAAAATGTCGATGGCGGTGTGTATAAAATAGAGTGTATGAGTTGTCAGGAAGGAAGAATGGGATGCACAAGAGCAATTAATTACAGCTTTTCATTTGGCAGCTTAGAATGACAAGGCCCAGCGGCGGGGGCAAGCTGGCATGACGCCAAGCGGCACCCATCATCGCCCCCATCTTGCTCGCTGTTCCACCACCTCCCCCATCTCCTTTGCCTATTCCTTTACCAACTGCCACAACACCACCATTTTCCTTGCTCATCCCCTTCTGACTCTGTCTTTTCTTCTTCTTCTTCTCCTCCCTTCCTCTCAGCTCACACACCCACCCGCCCTCACACAACAGCACATTTATATCGCAACTCAATCCTCTTCTACTTCCGTAGCCCAGATTCACCTGTGCCCTGCCCTCTTCCTACCCCTCCTCCATCCTTTCATCATTGTGTGTGGTTCAAAGTGTCCTTAATTAGGTAAGCCTGGTTTCATAAAGGGATAGACAAAGTCTGGGGACACTGTTAGCACTGAGTAGAAAAAAAAGAGCAAGAGGACAGATGGCATGGAAGTGTTGTTTTTTGGTTTGTTTTTTCTTTATGGCCAATCTTGTTTACAAGGTCAAATCAGCTCTATACAAATGTCATGTACCGCTAACAGCTGACCTGCTGCCACCCTCCATACCTGAACTTAGGTGGTGAGTGGAAAGAGCCTAAGGGTGGGGTGGGGGGGACGACACACACATTAGCACACAAATGCATGCACACGCATACAGTTGATCAAGAGATGGATTAATAATTTATATATCAAAAAGTGAAAATCGGGAGATGGGCAATTACTTGATTTTCCTGTGAAATAGCCATAATATGTGAGCAGAGATATTAAAACAGCTCAATACAAACTTTATTATTTATGTGGAGAGAAGGAAGAGGTTGTTATCACTTAGTCTATAACCAGAGAAAAAGAGTTCTCAAACACAACCGCCCCCGCCCCCACCCCATATAGCCCTCCTCCCACCTCTGTAAATATCTCTTAGTTTCTCATCTATTAGCTGCGCTAATTAACTGTAGTTGTTGCCACAGTGAATAAATGCAAAATTGCTTTGTCAGCAGGATTTTGCCAGAGTGGTTTTTCAGATGTTGTGTCTGCATTTATGCATGTGCATGTTTGTCTCAGTTTCTGATTTTATGTGGTAAGTTTGTCTTCAGTTGTCATCAGATTAGTATCTGCACGTCTCTGTGTACAGTGCATATGCATTAAGAGCTGCTTGCACAACACCATCTACAAAAAATCACCATGCCGCTCTCCCTGTAAACCCCCCCTCTCTCACTTTCACTTTCTTTAGCAGCCTGCAGCGCTATCTCGTGAGATATTCATCTCATCAGATATCCACTTTGTTTTTCCTTTCTTCTTAGCCGGGCTTGACTGTGAGGAAAAGAGAATCGCAGGCAGTCGTAATCATGTGTTTATAAAACCAGATAAGATTTTATTTTTATTTTTTTTATAAGCCTATTGCATATCTGTCCTTTTATCTTGGGATTTTGCCACAGAAATAGTTTTTAATAGTGGCAGCTTTGTGTAGGAACTTGTCAACAATATGTTTTATAGCATGCCTATTTTTGTCTAATGTTGCCAGCACTTCTTAACAGTATCTGAAAGCAAAGAACAAGAGACAAGATAACTCTCCAGCTTACTCGTCTGCACCGTCATACTGTATAACCTCCTTTCAATGGGGCATTCAGGTGCAGGCACAGTCATGCTTAAAGCTTGCTGCGCTGGCTCTGCCTTTTGACACAAAGCTTAACTTAGCTTAAGTGGCTGACTTATCCTACTTTTGCTTGACAATATCTAGGTGTGTTAATAATTTATAATGTATGTGCTCCCCTGTTCTGTCTTTAGGTCCCGGTGTCTATGGCTATGATGAGTCCACAGATGATCACTCCACAGCAGATGCAACAGATCCTGTCCCCTCCTCAGCTTCAGGCCTTGCTGCAGCAACAGCAGGCTCTCATGCTACAGCAGGTAAGACGCGGATTCGCACACACACAACACACACACACACACACACACACACACACACACACGCTTTATCTGGACCCAGTCCCAGCCTGACATGTTTGGATGTGTCTGTTTTAGTAGCCGCTGACACACAATGGGTGCGATTGTATCTCATTCAACGCTCTGAGATCTTTGAAGATAAACACACGTCCACATTTCCACTCATACACACATTGTCATTTCAACTGCCTCTTCTTTAGCATTGTTGTTAGGAGACAGGGCACGCTTCTGCCCGCGGGAACACACGAACACACCTATGCACGCGCACGCACGTGCTTTTTGGCATCGCCCTGTGAATCACGGTGATTAAGAAGTGTGTTGATGCCCGGCAGGTGATAGAGGAGTTGCCATGTCGACACACAAACCAATAAACACTCTTCATCTGCAACACATTTGTCAAATGCTTAGCCACACCAACCCCCATGACCTGCTACCTGCACAGGCAAACGCTCTTAAAGGCTGCAAACATGACCACTAACAGTGCGGGGACACAGAAGTAATTGCTTAGTAGGGGATATCGAGAAAACGCGGCTTGGGCAAAGCCAGAGCAGACAGAAGATTTAATAAGAAGTGGTAGCTTTAGGCGTGTATAAATTGCAGCGGGAAGATCTGACAACATGTATCATAATGGAAATGTGAAATGTGGTGGCTTTCTATAAACAGACATGCAGATGGCTAAGAACCTCTTCACCAGCTCTTTTTTTCCTCTTTTCTTTTCTATAACGAGGAAAAAGGAGGCGGTGGGACGGGGGGTTGATAATGCACACTCACTCACAGCATCAATAATAAAACCACTGAGTTTAACATTGCTCTCCCACTTAATTAACCACAGTATGGACTACGCACTTAGTGTATATCTGCAAATCAGGCACTATTACACACACACACACACACACACACACACACACACACACACACACACACACACACACACACACACA